TATATATATATATATATATATATATATATATATATATATATATATATATATATATATATATATATATTTCTGTGTGTTTGATTTATTTGCAAGGGAGAGGGGGTATGAAAAATTTAAGTTTAACTTCTTCATACACCTTCTAAGACAATTTACATTAATCAATGTCAGTTCTCTGGCTATATATACAGACAGGTTTATTTGGTGGAGGGTTTTGTTTCTATTTATGTTCAGGTGAGTTTTGTTAGTTTGGAAATTGTTGTTTGGTTTGATGTTAACTAGTTATTTTCATGTGTATTTAGTTGATTCATTTAATGTTGTTTAATTTATTGTTTAAAATAAATTCCTATATTCATTCATTCATTCAAACCCTTTTCCTTCCACTCAATTTTATATTAACATAACATGCTTAAATAAAGAACCCTGAAGTTGTTTTGCTGTACACTGGTCAATTATGTAATTAATGTAAATTATTATAAGGGACTGCATATTGAATTAAAAAACATCATCATGTAAATGAAGAGGAATCAATCTGTGTGTGATGAAACTATTCCTTTTAAACGCAATCTTTTTTATATTCACGTCAACGTACTAAAATAAATGTGCCTTTACGCTCACAGAATCGAGCGCAGGGGGCGTGTCAGCTGCCTGTGGTCACATGGGCCGGAAAATGTGGGGCTTAATTCCTGTGTTTGACTGCTCTCAGCTGCTGCTCCTTTGCCCTACGCACTTCAAACCGCCCGTCCTCCCCATCCCGACCACCGACGCCCAGGTGGATTCTGCTCAACGCGACATGTCGGGTAAGACAAGGCGCGGCTCGGGACGCTGTCTACCTGCGAACAGCGCCTCTGATCTCGGCCTCTCTCTGGGCCGGACCGCAGCTCGGAGAACTGTCTATCAAAATTTAGGGAAACGTCATGGAAAACAGCTGCTTCTCCTCTCACGGCTCCCGTCCCGTGGGCATCGATTATTTGTTTAACTTTCAACGATAATGTTATTTTTTTTTTTACTTCTGAGTATTTAATTTTTTGCATTTGAAGAGTCTGTGCAACGATTTGGACTAAAGTCAAGTTAGACGGTCAAAGGCAGCATATCCGGTTTACAGAGTTTACTATAAAACAGTTTTTGAAGTCGTGCTTATCTCCCCAGATTTTTTACAATCCCTCGGGGTCCTAGATTTATGAACCAGGTTGTTCTCTTTTTAATGGTTCAAAGCGGGGGTGGTCAAAGTGCAGCTGGGGCCAGTTTGTGGTTCCTGGACCGAATAAGCAATCCAACAATACAAATTTACTCTGATTCACATGTTCACTTTGTAATGATTTATGATGGGGTATATACAGTATAAACACTGCTTTATATATATATATATATATATATATATATATATATATATATGTATATATGTGTGTGTGTGTGTGTGTGTGTGTGTGGAGTTTTACTTGACCATATTGGTTAAAGTAACATACATTTGGTGCTGTGGTTTAGTCATTTAAAGTAAAATCAAAGGTGGTGGCCACAGCTGGTGTCCTTCCCACACTTGTTACTTAGCATTGTCTTAGCTTAGCTAAAGTAGTTCTGCCCACCCCTCTCATCATAATGCTGTGTAAAAGTTTGCAACTTATGACCAGCATGTGTTGAGCGGTAGACTACAGGCTTGCTACCTAATGAGTCCAACAAATATCCCAGCAATAATCAAAACCTGTATGTTCCTATGAACTGACCAAATGTTCCCTTTGACTTTCTTTTTGGTTTGCACAATGCAATGATTTTATAGTGAAGTCTGGAAATAAATGCTCCCAACAATGTCTCATAAAAGGATTATATTTTTAATATTACAAAGTTCAAATTTAGACTCAGTTTTAGATAATGGTGTGTTTATGCATCTATTTTAATCTAGGGTTTAAATAATTGCTGCCTGAGACAATGTTGATATAAGGATAAGGATATTTGCAGAATACACTGATGAAAACTATGAAATCCAGCAGGTGTTTATTGCACAGCTTCTCCGGGGTCCGACAACTGTCATGTTTCTGGCTTGAAACACCTGAATCACATAATTGGGTCATTAGCAGGACTCTGAATTACCTTTTCATGGAGCCAAGTTGTCCATGTATTTGAGTCAGGTGTGATAACTTTGGGGTGTTTTCTAAAAGCTGGAGGACACCACCTGGTTTGACTGCATTTTGCAATATAAGGGGTTCAGTTATTCTTGCCATGCATGGCTTTTTGGCCTCTATAACTCTTTCTCACTGCAAATTGGGAAATAAGATAAATGGGCTCATTTACTCCCTAATTTTCTTCAGATGGTAGTCATCCAGCTCACAGTCATTCCAAAAAAAGTAAAAAACAAACCACTCAAAGTGGTTTCCAAATTTTGAGACATTTCACTTCCCATCCAGAGAGCTTTATCAATTCAAAATGTCTGGAGTAATTTGGGCTCAAGGCTTTTAGAGTAGCCCAACAAAAGCCTGATTATGGCTCAGAAAACATGCAAATAGAACTAAAATCAGGTCCACCCTTTTTAATGTCGAGACGTTCAGGGCGTTGTTGTCCTACCCTAACTGGTGCGCTTGTTTTGACCACCTGCATGAAGGTGCGCATTGAGGTGATTGTGGGAATGGATCAACTCTAACGCTGCATTATAGGTTTTTGAGAGCTGAAAGTGAGAGTCCACCCCTTCTGTTTAAGATAGTTTTTTCTCTCAGTGTAGATGCTTCCTTCAAACCCCTTTCAATCCACCTGACTTAGTCAGAAATGAGAAGATTCTAGTCCTCAAATGAGTGTCCTTAAATGTAAGCTTTACTTTTTTTGGTATCGAATCACCATCTTTGCCATGTCCTCTGTTAAATATTTGCCCTATTTTCCTTTATTTCATTTATTTTATATTGCAGGATCAAAATGCAGCTTGAGTTCTCTGGGCTTTGTTGAACCCTGTTTGCATGCTTTTATTCTTAAAGCCCTCACATCTACTTCCTGCTTATCAGTCGTTGTCAACAAACTTCACATAATTGCTTCATAGTGTGGACGTGCAGCACTGTGGGCCTTCATGTTCTTATTATAATAAGCCTGTGGAGTAAAAAGCTGTTTACTACTTTCCAGCTGAAGTGTTTGACTTCATTAAATTATATCTGATCTGTGTATAAAAGTTTGGTTTGGAATAACATCTCCACTGCTTATTCTAAGTTAAGAATCAGATTAAATTAGTTATTTCTACAGGTTGTTAAGCTTTAAAGTATGCTCTAGTTTTAATTCTTTTTCTTTAGAGAAGGGAGTCAGAAGGCACAGACAACACTGTGGGAGCGCAGCACATGGATTCTGCTTGTTGTTTATTTCAGGGGGCTCTTACTCTTACACTCTGGCCTTTGGATAGTCGATTTATAGTTCCTTGGATTGGAGCTTAGCAACTGTGCAACACAGCCATGCAGATCGGGTTTCTCAAAAGCCCCCTTCCACCGAAGCATTCGGCTTGACGAACACTGCCTGCTGGGCAGCTTGGTCTCCATCAGCCTAGCAGAATCCCCCCTGGTGTTTACACATGAAACTTTCAAGGCATTATATACTGATTAAAATCATAACCAGTCTGTGAATAAAATGTTTCAGGTTGTAAGACTAAACATATAAGAAAAATTACTTTTAGTTTATAACTGGAGTTCGGGAAGCAGTTGATTAACTTAATACTAGAGGATGTGACTAAGATTTTTTAAAATGGATTTAAACCAGGTGAAACTAAAATGTTTCCACTTGAATTCTGGATAGAGCACATTGACAGACAAAAAAGATTTTATCTTAAAATGCAAAAGTTTTTACAATTTTCTCATAATTGCTTTTATTTTGCCTTGGGATTATTAAAGTATTTCTGATTCTGATTCCTGGTTGATGGGACAGGTGTTGTGAATCAAATGGTGCCCAGCTTGAAAGAGCTCCTGTGTGTCATTGAATGTGTGCATTGATGACTGAAAGAAATCTTCTGCCTCCATTTATCTGTTTAAAGTGTGTAGAATTCATGTTGATGTGTATTTAAAGACATTTCAACTTTTGGAAAAAATTGCAGGGGGAATATTAAAAAAAAAGCCTAATCAACCGAAACTTTCGCGACCCCCATGTAGTACCTCCGTGGACCCCCTAGGGGTTGCGGACCCATTGTTGAAGACCTCCACTTTAGGGTATTGCTCAATGCTCAAATTATCTGTAAATGATTTCTTGACTATAATACCTTCTTGATATCAGAAATGGACCGATACATCGGTTGGTTCATATTTGTTTTTACCCATATTGTTTTTTTTTGTTTGTATTTATTTTTTTTTTAAATGTATCGTTATTGGCCGATATCTGCATGCAGCAGCCATGTCTTGATCATGTAAAGAACATGCATTGCTGCACCCAATTAGCAATCTATTGTTAATGTTTCTTTTTCATTTGTTACTTTTCTGTTTAAAACAGAGACTTCAGTAACATTTGTTATCAGTGTTGGTTTTATCATGTATATGAAGGAAGAAAAGTAAGAATTGGCCCAAAAATATTGGGAGTGTACATCAGGAATCTGTTAAAATTATTTCAAAATAATTGCTATCTAGCCTTAAAAACCTGTATTGGTTGATCCCTAGTAACTAGATCCTACTCTAATAGATTTGAGTGCATGTATTGGAAGAGAGGTCCTCATCAGTTTGTGATTGATTGATTTATTTTTTTCCCCTGAATGTTCGCAAATATTTTGCAAGGGGTGCCTTATAGTCAGTGAGTATTTTCTAACAAGGCAGGGTTTTTCACTTGTCATTCATTCTATTTATGTAAACAGATATATTTTAGGGAAAGACAGGAAGTGACTGTTCTGAAAAAAAGTTTTAATGCAGATTATCTTTTTTCTTTTTTTTCTTTTCTCCAAAGCAGACCAAGCTTTTGTGACGTTGGCAACAAATGACAATTATGCCAAGGGAGCAATGGTTCTGGGCCAGTCCCTAAGGAACCACAACACAACCCGCAAACTGGTGGTACTCATAGGACCTCACGTTGCAGAGCCTTGCAGGTAAACAGGCAGTGCTTTGAACTGCTTGTTAAAGTCCAGCATGCATGTTAACAGGAACCCCTTTGCTTGTGCTGTAGGGATGCACTGCACTCTGTTTTTGATGAGGTGATCATGGTGAACGTGATGGATTCAGGAGATGCAGCTAATCTGGCTCTGATGAAGCGGCCAGACTTGGGCGTAACAATCACCAAACTGCACTGCTGGACCCTTGAGCAGTACAGCAAGTGTGTGTTCATGGATGCTGACACACTGGTAAGATGGACAATCTGCACAAAGTATGTCATTCTTTAAGACTTAACTTTTAATGCATCCTATGAAGTAAGTTGCTTTTTTTGTATTGCCTGTATGCAGGTTCTGTCAAACATAGATGAACTCTTTGATAGGGAAGAATTGTCTGCAGCTCCAGATCCTGGTTGGCCAGATTGCTTCAACTCAGGAGTTTTTGTCTTCAGGCCGTCCAATGAGACGCACAAAGACCTGCTCGCGTACTGTGCTGAAAAAGGCAGCTTTGATGGTGAGTGCCAGGAGAAAATGGTTATTGGGAACCATTTCTCCTTTTTATATATTGAAAAAAAATAAATAATTCTTTACTAAAGCTATCCCAAACTTCAAAGAAGTGACACCAAGTGAGTGTTTAATAAAATTTGAAGTTGCTGTTGGTTGCATAGATTATCAAATTTGCAGATCTAACCTCTTGATGTTTTTCCAAGTTTAGAAATTGGTATTCTCACATCTACAGATTTGAGTATCATCGCTTAAGCATGAGATTTTTCTTTACATCAGGGTCTCTTATTTAATTAAAATAAATTGATCTTCATGTCTATAGTTGAAGTCTGTGAAGATGAATTTGAATTGATTTCTAAAGCTGATAAAATTAATGTTGCTTACAATGAACTTTAGGAGGTATAAGATAAGGACAGCAACTTTTACATACATGTGAACATGTATAAAATATCTATCCAAGTGATTGGAGAAATCATAGGATCATCCAAGAGACAAAGCGGGATACTTAACAGGTTTTAAATCTACCCTGATCTTTAAAAGCACTATGCAGTGATCCCATCCTCCTCTAAGCAGAAACTTAAGCCAAGGTCAATTGGTGAGAACTCCAGACTCACAATTATTGAAATCTAGATGTAAATTTATCTTCATAATAGCTGCCACTGTAAACAACTTTCAGAGCTTTTTTTTTTTTTCAACCTCCTTGTACTACTTTTGTAGGTAAGTTCTGCACTGGCTGCATAACTCATTGTGGTAGCGAATGACTTTCTTCTTCTTAGAAGTTAAAAACTAAGCTAGCTTTGAGAATGTTGGGTGTCTGCCATACTATCATAAATCTGTCAGTTTTATTTCTCGCATGATTAACCCTGAGAAGATGAACTGGAGGAGCAAAGGTACTGATGTTTGTTCTGATGGGAGCTGACTTGAAAACCTACTTGTTCATTTAGCTCTGATACTGAACCTAAACGCTCACTGCAGCCAATTAACGCAGATCTCATAAATTTCTTTCTGAGACAAAGAAAGGATTTCCAATACTGAATCAAATGCATTGTTTCAACATTCATACTATATGACAGAAGTAGAGTATGAATGAGTATGAAGTTTGTGGCTTTAGACCTAAGACTTCCATCATATCATCAAAGTGGTAGTTTGCCCAAAATGGCTTCAAGCAAATTGAAAGTTTGAAACAATTATTGCATCAGAACTCAAAGGTGAAATGGTGCTTGCACATAGATGTTAACAAATTGCCTGATGGGGGTATTACTTCAGTGAGGACAATTACCTGGAGCTGCTTGATGCAAAACTCTTAACTTTAAGAGGAGACCATATATCAAATGCTTTTACTGTGTTTACATATTATTTTTGTGTAAATATGAGGGGAACTTGCTTTCCTGAGGCAAAAATATATCTTTTATGTAACTCTTTGTAAAAAGTCATTATTGGCGTCTGCAGAAATGGCCTAGATATAAAAATATTGTGTGGTACTGTTTACAATTTTAGGAAACAAGCCCCCTGCCTGAACCCAGCTGTAGGCACCTGGTGCTGTGTACAGTGTTTTTTTCACTAATGGTATAATGGGTATGTGGATGTTGTCTGCGCTTCTTTCAGCATCTATTTTTATATGACAACCAGTGTATGAGAATGTACAGAATGTATTTTTGTTATGTTAATCATTCATGTACAACATGTTCTGTGCTCTGACTCTACAGCTGAGTGAAAAGTGGGTTGACCTCCCAAGTCCTCTGATTTTTGTTCCACAAAATGCCTTGACCTAATTATGCCGTTGTGGTTAAGGGTTTGTCTGTGTGTGCAGGTGGAGACCAGGGGATTCTCAACAGTTACTTTAACACCTGGGCGACGGCGGATATTTCCAAACACCTCCCTTTTATCTACAACCTCAGCAGCATTGCCATCTACTCCTACCTTCCAGCTTTCAAACAGTGAGTTCTTGCTCAGACGTTTCTTTACTATATACGTTGGAATATCATGCCAACCCTTTTTATTGCCAACCTTAAAGTTGTTAAAATTTTATTAAACACTACTGGAGTTTGGTTGGTGTATATTTATAAAGTGGTAGGAAAAATGTATGTATATTTTCTTCTTTTGGAACTCATTCTTTTCAGTATTGTGTGCACCACAATACTTGGTGGCCCAGGATAATATCCACAACAGCCGTTTCAGCTTATTTGCAAACTGAGTCCATTTGTGTGTGTAGTTGAGATGGATCCAACATCTTAAAAAGCAAGGTTTTATCAATTATCTGAAAAAGAATATTGTTGCTCCAAACCTACCAAGACGTGACCATCCATCTAAACCAGTGATGTCCAAGCTTTTTGCATGTGGGAAATCTTAAGTTGTAGGTGCTTATGGGCCAAAATTGGAATGGATTCTTAAACTTAAAAGAAGTGTAAATTAGGGCCGGACGATAATTTATTGATATATTTTGATTGATAGACATGTGGCGCAATAGGAAAACAAGAGGGTAGATAAAAGACCCCTTTTTCCACCTGGATTCCTACTCTTTTTCACCCTCATATCCCTCCGTTGTTGCACAAACTTGCCCCCACTTGCTCACCACGTCGGTCGTATCAAGCCTAACAGCTAGATCGTGATTGTCCCTCTTGTGTTGTGGAGTGGAATACCATGGCGCAGACCATGCTTCAATATTGGCCATAAATCAAAAATATCTGCAACAAACTCACTGCGACACACTACTGCGGGGAGTATAACCAGCCCTTTACACACACCATGCTAGCACGGATCCACGCCCCCTAGTGAAGATCTACGATACTACTGCTCTGTAGAGGTAAACAAGCAAACTAACATGGCGTCGCCCCTAACATTCACAAAGTTATTTTTTGTTGTGATATTTCGTTGTTTGAGGAGAGTAAGGTGAGGAAGGCAGCCTTTGGTGAATTTACTTGACAGTCAGCTTTTGGGAAGTTGATACACATTGATGTCTGGCACGGTCTGATTTATGGCTCCAAAATTATGCCTAAAAATCTTCAGGTTGAAAAAAATATTTGGCAAAATGTTCTCTAGTCATTTATATTCTTGTCAAAATGCTATAGACTAACACCTATTTAAAATGTTAGCAAAATTGATGCTGGTTGAATCACATTTCGTTTAGATTTTTCAGGAAATATGTATAATGGCAAAGATGACATTTAATCCATCCATCCTCAAATTGTTGCACCTATTCCTTCAGCTTTCAATTGGTCAACAGTAAGAAAACTATCCACTAAGCTAAATTCTGACTGCAAGGTCTGCTTATATGTGAGGCAACACAGATTAGGTGAACCTCCCGTTAGTGACATTAAGCGTCTTTTTGATGACGCTAAGTAATTGTGGCTTGATAAGTTGAGCTCAAGCTGTCAGAATTGGACGTCCATGTCTGATATTTATGAGAGTTTATGAAATGCCTCTCTGGTCTTTAGTAATTGGTGCATTTTGCTCCTTCATCTCTGATGGAGGGGGGGCTCTCTGTCATGCCATAGCACCATCGACCCAGTTGGAACTGCAGAGTTGACCATAATGGCTTCTATTTGAGATGCAGAGGAAAAACACAAGGATGACTTTGTGAACCCTGAGTTGGATGTTTCTGTATTTGTACATCTGAATGAGATTAATTGGTCCTCACCATGTTGAACCCAAATGCATTCAGGTGATGGATTTGGGACGCTTCCAGAAGCTGCAGAATGGGGGGGGGGGGGGGGTCTTTAGGATCTTTTCTCTAAAATCGCAATAAAATTTTTTGAAGTATGTGGGTGTAATGGAGGAAAAAAGGGGTACAAATCCTTTAACGCGACACTAATTCTTTTGCCCAATAGAAGCAGTCTATATAGATTTGCCTACAAAATGAAGCAGATATTTACACATGCAGCTTTATCCAATGCACCTTGCTTCCTGTTTTTAATTTTAATCATTCCCTCTCGTGACACCCTTTTCTGTGGAACTGCACTGAACTGTTTGTTTGGAGGCTTTAGGCTCATCCAAGGTCAGTTCGGCAATCCTGCATAGTTGTGGTTTGGTGTTTAATTACAAGAGGGTATGCAGAACTTTGTCCAAAGACTTGGCTTTCTGCAGCTTTCTTATTGAAATCTGCATTTGATGTTAAGACTGTCTAAATTGGGTGATATCATGAAAAGTGTGTTTTTTATAGTAATTATAAAGCACATTTTAAATTAGTTTTGATATCTCTTTAAATTGGACATTAAATGCTTGAGTTCTTTTATACTGGACTTTTTTCCTGTTAGTTAAAGCAAAATTTCAGTGCTAGCACACTGTATGTAAAGCCACAATTGTATCCCCCAGGATTTCTACAACAGAAAAAAAACGCTTGACTTGATGCATAGTTGAGTGCTTTTTTTTCTTTTTTTTGATCTAAAGTTAATGATCCAAATCAATTTTTTTTTATCTTAAAGCAGTCTTTGCAATTCAAACATTTTTTGCAAACATATACATTATGAAATGATGCATGCAATTTTCCTAATATAATATGTCATAAAGCCTAATTTCAGTATAATGATTTAATATTTCTCATCCTTCGCAGATATGGGCACGATGCAAAGGTGGTGCACTTTCTGGGCAAAGTGAAGCCATGGAACTACTCCTATGATGCCCAGAAAGGTGAGGTCAAAGGTCACTCCACATCTCCTGACCAATGCCAGATGCACCCGGACTACCTGCTCCAGTGGTGGCAGCTGTATGCCACATCCGTCCTGCCATTAATGCAGAAAGCGTATGGTGACACTCCGTTCAGCAGCGGCTGCGTGGACCAGAAGAGCTGTCCTGTACGTGAACAGTGGTTTGTCATGTAGATGTGAATGAGAAACGGGTTGGTCTGTGTGTGTGTGTGTGTGTGGTTGAAATGAAGCAATGATAGATTTCTTTAAACTTGTCATGTAGCACATCTGTTGTAGCATGTTACAAAAAAATTGTGAAAATAAGAGGGTGCAGCTTTTTCTATTTTCTTTATGGTTGCAATTCAATAGAAATTTAAAGTTGAATTAAACTCCCAACAAAATAGTTTGGGTTGACATTCCTAAGCTGCAGTCTGTTGCCGCTCTGTTCAGTGCTTGCCAAACTAGATGGGAAGTTTCCATGCAGTGTGGTAATGGGCTTGGTAGTGAAATAGCTGGCAGTCACATGATGAAGGGGGGGATGGGTACTGCCAATACCCAGAGCTTTATCTGTTCGCCTGGAGCAGGACTATGTTGTATCAGTGACAAGTTTACACAGGCAAGCAGCAGAAGGTTACTGTGCACTTTCTCATGGAAGATTTTTTTATATATATATATATATCTAGAGATGGGATATACTACCTTAAGCCAGTTTTTCTTTGTTAAATTTCTTTATGTAGTTTGTTTTTCCAAGATGTTACTCTTGAGCAACAAATTATTTTTTAAGGTAAATATTAGACATAATCAAAGCAATAGAAATTACCTGGTCTGACTGCTGGATTATTGGCACAGAATCTGAGTGGTCTGCTGTGTCTTTATGATGGTGATCAGTGTTGTTTACCTAGCTAACAGGAAACTGCAGCAACTGTTTCCCAGAGAGTTTACATTGTTGCCTTTAAACCAAATTTCCGATTGGCTCCCAAAAATTTCCAAATGCAGACTCTTTGTGTAGAATTTGTTGTAAGCCTTCCATCAGTGCTGAAGATGGTTCCCCTTTTTTTTTTTTTTTGCCCTTAAATCTTGCATTTTCTGTGGCTTCGTTTTAAACACGTTGGTGAGAATAAAAAGGAGCAAACTTTAAGTCCTAATTCTGTAACTACTTTTAAACCCAAGAGTAGTCTTATTGAGCTTTAATGGATCTGGATTATTGAGATTTTGACCAACTGGTGGCTAGTCAAGAACAGCTGGGTTGTAAATCAGGTAATTTAGACAGACATAATTACACTCTATAGGTATAGGAGGTTGAAACTTTGGCAGGTCAGTTTGGTTGCTGTTAAGAGGCTGGAAAATGATAATGAATGGATTAACACAATAAACCCTCGCCTCAGTAACTAAAATCTGATCATTCTTTTTGCAGATTAATCGCTTTTTCATATTTGCACCTTTTTACTTATTTACTACTCTTGCAGTGGTTGGCACACAGAAAGTAGGTGGTTCTGACCAGAAGTTTGGTGGCTGTCTTTTCTTCACTTGGTAACTTTATCAACATGCTTTTAGTGACATGGCTTCATGTTTTGGTCCCTTGTGTGGGGATTTTTAAACAAAGTTGCCAACCAAATACAGCCACAAATCCTTTGCAGTAAAAGTTTTGTCATTCTTTGCCTTCTTCTGAGTTGGCCTTGACATTATGAGGGTTATGTTGATAAGTACAATTAGCAAGTTGGTTCAGTCTCTGATTTTCATGATTCCTTCTGTCTAGATAGCTGTCTGTTGCAGGGGATTTTGTGTGTTTTATGTTCACTCATGCAACTTTTAGAATGTTTGTCTGTCTCTGCAGCTTTCGAGCGTTCTGGTTTTTGTTTTTTCCTTTCTCCTGAAATGAGGCGAAATACCTCTAAGATCATACAGTTTTGATATAATTCAATTTGTAAAAGATTATTAATTTTCTGATATTGATGCATCTAGAAATTTTATTTCCCACCCCAAATGCTTTGCATAAAGTGCAGTTATGAGCAATGAGGTTTTCACCATAAGGCTTTATGCAGTTCACCTTTCTTTATTTTCCAGGAGGCAAATGTTGCACATAAAGAAACTTGGGAAAAAAAACTAGAAAAGTAGTATCAATTCCTTCCTCTCTCAGGAACTGCCTGCATACTCTTGCAACATGAGGCCAAGCATTGTTGTGCACCAGGAGGAACCCAGGACCCACTGCACCAGCATAGGTTTAGAAATGGGTGCAAGGATTTCATCCCGATACCTGATGGCAGTCAGGGTGCCGTTGTCTAGCCTGTATAAGTCTGTACGGCTCTCCATGGAAATCTCCTCCATTCTCTTGAGGTTGTGCTGGGAGACATGGCAAACCTTCTGGCAATGGCACATATTGATGTGCCATCCTGTAGGAGTTGGACTGCCTGTGCAACCTCTGTAGGGTCCTCATGCTAACAGTAGTGACAGTGACCCTAGCCAAATGCAAAACTGGTGAAAAAGAGTCAGAAAAGATGAGGAGGGGGGAAAAACGTCAGTGGCCTCCACCTGTAAAACCATTCCTGTTTTGATGGTTGTCTCGTTTTTGCCCCTATAGTGCACTTGTTAATTTCATTAACACCAAAGCAGCTGAAACTGATTAACAACCCCCTCTGCTACTTACCTGACCAAATCAATATCCCAGAAGTTTAATTGATGTTACTTGATGCTATACTATGATTAAAAAGTGTTCCTTTAATTTTTTTTAGGTGTGTGTGTGTGTATTCTCTGTAAATCTAAATGGTGATGGTGACATGCAAAAACAGTGCAAGGAATGAAAAAATGTCAATTACAGAGAGGGGGGTGTCTGAATCACTTGAGGGAGGCGTAGAGATTGATGACCACAGGCAGGAATGAATTCCTGTGGTGCATCTGGGTAAAAGGAGTCTACTGAATTGTTCCTTGGACTGAGGGACACCTCTGGTAAGAAAAAAAAATCATTAAAACATCTAACTTTTCAAGTTATCCTGTACACAGACTCTCCTAAAACCTAACCTCCTTGGTGGAGGTAAAACTCTGCAAGTAGCTGATCCTTCCGCCAGTGGTTCCTATTAACTGGTTACAACAAAGTGAAGCCAACATGAAACCAATATAATACTGCTTAAGAGGCTTTAAAGTATAGAAATGTTTATTTTCTACCCACTGACTTTTTATTCAATTTAACTTAGTTTAAGATTTAGAATTGACACATTTGTGTCAAGTTTGTCTAGATTATTTTCACTTGTTCTGATATTTTTGTTTCTGTGATTAGATTAAGTATCCTAAAGCACTAAAAGTGTTTTTAAAGCAGAAAGGACTGGGGGGGTGGGGCCAGTGGCCCTGAAGAAAAGCAAAGTGACTTGAAAACACTCTTTTTAAAGTATTGCTCAAGTTTCTGTAAATGATACGCTTGCTTTGTCTGAATTTCAGGATAAACCTCATGAGGACGTGAGAGAGCAGCCAAAGCCTTCTACTCCCCCTCCCTCCCAGACCGTTTCGTCAGAGGAAAGGAAGCAGCGCTGGGAAGCAGGCCAGATTGATTACTTGGGCGATGACTCCTTCACAAACATCGAACAAAAACTCAACTCTTTCCTCAAGTAGCGGGTGTCTGAGGGAGTGTGATAGACAGCGGTTCAAGCTCTGGGATTAAGAGTGGTGGGGGGATCTAGCACCCATTCTGCCAAATGGAGAGTTCTACATTCATTTTGAAGATTTGGCTTCTTTTGGCAAATTTCCCAAGCACTACAACATTCACCGTTTTTCTTTAAACAGTTTACCCCAATTCAGGCAACATCTTCTTGCTAAAAGTTTAAGATTGGCCTGTCGGAAGTTAAATGGGTCTAGAAATGATTAATCTTGTATTAATCTAAGCACTGTGAATGGTAGAATGATTTAGACATTTATTAAGGGTTTAAAAATAGATAACCCCTAAGTGCTAACCTTTTATAAAATAAACTCTTCCGATACTTTTACTTTAGCCAGTTGTGTTGGTTGATATTCTGAATGCCTTCAGGAAACCACCTTTCTAATTTGACTAAAAAGTACCAAAAAGGGACACGCCTGAAGTGCGGCATCCTGGTTATATTTTTTTGTTTGGTTTGCATTGTTCAAGTTTTCATGCCCCTTTTTAAATTTGTTAACTTGCTATTCCTTCTTGGACTCAGCTAGATGAGTGCCAAGTCAAACATTTTGAACAGTAAAAAAAAAAAAAAAAAAGAATTCAGCTCCAGAATCCAGCCCCCAGGTATATTTGCAATAAGTCTGTTTAGAGCACAAAGCATATATGCAACCGGCTCCCTCTTCCCGTAGCCACGGCTTTAAACAACTGTTCACCTCAAGAGAGTATGGAGGAGCGTTCCTGTCTGTGCTGCTTGACACTCACCAGCTCCCTGTGACTTCAGCTAAATAACATCTGCTGTATTGTTAACTTGTTTGCATGGCACAGAGTTAAAAAGCGGGTTTGTAATAAAGTGCTTCCACCCACGTCCAAAGGTGATTTAAAGTTTCATGTGTATTTATGCACTCCTCGTATACGTTTCTATTGGAATCCCTTCGGTATTTGTGCCCTGGCCTGCATTTCATCAGTTTCCTCTCTGTAGTGTAACCTGCTGCCTTACTGCCTGCTGACAGTTTACAAACCCCTCCAACCTTATCTGCTGCTGCTATTGTGTTTCTGTGAACCCCCTCTTCCCTCATGAGAACAACCTCTTTACTACCACCTGTGTTGGTCAAAGTATAACCTACAGCACTTAATGATTCACTCCTCTGTCCATTGCACAGACTCCTAAAAGGAAAAAAAAAGTGAAGTTGATAGTAAGTCTGAGAGCAGCGTGTAGGTGTGGATAATTGTTGTTTTAAGACCTTTTGATGCATGTTTCCCAGCTGTTAACTGTTCATCACCTTTAACAAATTAATAAACCTGTGAAAAAGAATATGCTTTCTGTTTGACTGTCTGAGCTGAGGATTTTCTATGCACTCAAATACACCTATGATATTTACATATACAGGGTGGTAAAAGGTAGTAAATTGACAGAACTCTGCTTAAGGCCATTAAAAGGTAACAGAATTTGATATGGGAGTACATTTTTTCAACCCTTCAATATATTCTAACTATTCCATTGATACTGATTTGTTAAATTAATTTAAACTTTTTTTTTTTTTATAAATTGTATGCAACTTGGCCTGAGCTGATGTTTATAAACTCGTTTTGTTCTGTTGGCTGACTTGCTTTGTTTTAACTGCCTAATATGTTGAAACTAGTCATTTTGCTCTCCACTATGAAGAAATTGTGGTTTTCACAACTTTTGCTCACTGTAAAACCAGTACATTGAACTCTAATGATTTAAGGACACAAATTGCCTTAAAAAAAATAACTGACTTATGTTGAACAGTAAAATCCCAATTTTTTTATTTTTATTAAAAGTACCACGATTTTTAAAACTAATAAACAGACTTATTCTCTAGACTGAATTTAGGACCAGTAAGATTCTCACAATTTTTTTTATAGATCTGACTCTGTAGTCTCTTATGAAACATCAGCTTTTTTTTTTTTTCTATCAATTGAGCTTAAGCGTGGAAATTTCATAGTCCTGCAATTAAGGGTTCACATCCAACGATCCACCGTGCTGTTGAACTCAATATAATGGAAACCTAAGGAATGGTGCAACATTATGAGCCCCAATCTTGTTGGTTGTAATCGGCCAATTGGGTGGGGGTTGTGGGGCATGTCCCACTTCCTCAACAAATATTGGTTTATGAAATAAGTTTAAGTAATCGGTTTAACTAAACACTTTGGTTCAGTGTTTGATGATCCAGCATTTAAAGACTGGCTTTTTGCAGAGTATACAGAAAATATAAATGTTACCATGAACCGTGTTGGCTCATCATACCAATGGCATGGAGGTGTTCTAAAATAGGTTCAGACTCTGACCAAAGGTTTTGTATGCATGAGGTCTTAGTGGTCTCGTGTTTTTTTTT